GCATGTAACAATTGAATATCCTTTTTGATTTTTGTATTTTAGAGAAGGGTCTCCAGGGTGTTCAGGGTCTCACTACTAAATCCTTCTTGTAGTGGTCCGTCTTCATCCTCCCAAGTGCTGAGATTACAGGCACACGCCACCACGCCCAGTCTCAATCATCTTCTCAGCACTCTCTGGGGGCAGAGCCCAAAGGCAGGCCTGAGGATCCAATCCCGGGACCCTCTTCCCATTTGCAGGCACTTTATTAATTTACTTATTTTAATAATTTTATTGAGGAACAGATAGCAATGAGACAGTTTCAAAACTGATTAGTAGAACAGTTTCAATAATTAATACATTGAATATTGTTGCCTTCTTAGTGGTTATTCATAGTACAAGATGCAGACATGATATTCTGTCCAAAAACATTATTAGAACAAATCTTTCTATTCATTGAATTAAGAGAAAGTAGCTGTATATCTATCCTAACTATTTTGAATATACAGATACAAAATGGTGCTTCATTTGTATCCCCTTTTTTGCTTAGTTTTGTCAGAGAAGTATATTCTATTATCATTTAAATGTTCTAGGTGCATGAAATCAGAAAAATATTCCAATATAGTCCAGTAATCCATAATAGTAGTGGGCTATCCGTAGCACTGACAATGTCGGAAGTTGTTGACTTGAGTTTTTTTTTTTTTTTTTTTTTTAAAGAATTTTTTTTTAATTAATTTATTTATTTATTTGTGTGTGTGTATGTGTGTGTGGCCAGCTCAGCCCACCAGGGGGCAGGGCCGGCTGGCATGTGGTGCTGGGGGATCGAACCGCGGTCCCTCTGCTTTGCCAAGCTTGATTCCAAGTAGGTGCCTTAGACCACTGAGCCATCTCACCAGCCCTGACTTGAGTTTTTTTACACCTCATCATATTAGTATGGCTTTACTTTTTATGGTTCGTTTTTATGCTTTTCTGCTGGATGGCTAGGACCAAGATAAAGCAAGAACTATATAACAAGAAATGTAAATTTTTTATCTGATAAGGTCAGTAAAACGCCCTGAGGATTTATCCTGAAACCCTGTAACGCAGTTTGTAGATCCTTTGTCAGTGTCAGCCATGTGCATGAGTCACGGTCATTGCTTGACCAATTTGCTCTCTGTGAAAGCCTGACAGAATGGTTCATTTCCATGTGAATCTCCTTAGGCACACTCCACATCATTGATCACTTTCCTCTTTGGCCCCATAATCTCCTTGATCAGAAAATTTGGGACACAACTGAGTTACATGATGTTACAGTATAGGTTCTCCTAAGTCCTGAGTCCTCACTGACCTTGAAAGGCTAGAGCTGACATGTAGGCTGTCCTTGCAGGCCTTCTTTTTGTCTAACTTTTGGTCTGCAAGCTTAGGTTGTTAACTCTCCAGAAGAGAAGCTTATTATTATTACCTTACAACATAGGCAATTGAGCTTAACCTCACTATCTGTCTGAATATAAAACATCTTAGACATAACATGGAACAGGTAATTTCCATCTAGTATTGATATGTTAAACTATAAGTCCCTCCAGAATATGAGGGAAAAATATAAAAAAATTATTTTAAAAAATAAGAATAAACAATTACATATTTTTACACAGAAATTCAGAAATATAAACAAATATAGCATTGTAGCAGGATAGTCCTGTGACTTTTTTTTTCTTGTCTCTTGTTTTCATTTATTACCAATTTTTTTAAACATTTATTTGAGAGACAGTATGGCAGTAATTGGTATGACACGACAAGCAGTACATATTTAGAAGTCCAGAATGACAGGCATTCCAAGCATGACCCTACTATTACACATTGCTAACTTCAGTGCAGTTGCCTAGTTCACAGATATCCACATATATAGTTAGTCAGGGTTAGAATCCTACCAATTAGCTGCTAGTTTCAAAAACCTGCCAAAGATTCTCAGGATCATTCCTTAACCATCTTGTGTATAGAAATGTATGGCTTTGCCACTGTCATGTTTCCTAGCCTTTCTCCTTGCCCCCTCTCCATTGTTTAATCCTCAAATTCTTGCTTTCTTTTTAATTGTGTTATACTTTTCTATTTTTATTTCTTCTTTTGAGTTCTTACATGAGGGATACTATATGATATTTATACACGTTTGTCTGGTTTCTTTCACTTATGAGTGTATCCTCAAATGGCATCCACTTAAATATAAAGGCTTCGAGTTTATTATTCTTTATAACTGAGTAATACTCCATTGTATAACAATATCACATCTTTTTCATTCATTCCTCAGGTGATGGGCATCTTGGTTGTTTCCAAGATTTGACTATCCCAAATTGTGCTGTCATAAGCATAGATACACATATATCACTATGATACAACATTTTCAGTTCCTCTGAGAAAATTCCCAGTAGGGGGATAGCTGGTTTGAATGGGATTTCCAGTCCCAGTTCTTTAAGTAGTCTCCACACTGATTTCCATAATGATTGCACTAGTCCACAGTCCAACCAGCAGTGGAGAAGGGTTCCTTTTTCCTGCAGCCTAACATTTGCTGTTTCTAGATTTCTTTATGATAGCCATTCTTTCTGGGGTGAGATGGTATCTCAGTGTTGTTTTAATTTGCATTTCACTAACGGCTAGTATTTTTTCATATATTTATTCATCTCTTTAATTTCATCCTCTGAGAAGTGTGTGTTCATCTCGGGTGCCCATTTGTGGATTGGGTCTTTAAATTTAGGGACCCTAATGTTCCTTTGTCCTTTATAAATTCTAGAGAGCAGACCTTTGTCTGAGTACTTATTTGTCAAGATTTTTTCCAAATTTGTGGGTTGTCTTTTCACTTTGTTGGTAAATTCTTTTGATGTGTAAAATATTCTCAATAAGAGGAGGTCTCAGTTATTAATTCGTTGAAAGTATTACCCGTGCGATTTGATTTTTGTTCCTGAACTCTTTGCCTACCCCTATGTCTTCAAGAGTTCTTCCTACTTTCTCTTCCAGGAGATTTCGTGTTTCTGTATTAATTTTTAGAGGTTTAATCCATTTTGACTTTAGCTTAGTGCATGGTGATAGACCTGGGTCAAGTTTTAGTTTTTGGCATGTCAAGAGCCAGTTTTTCCAGCAGCATTTGTTAAAGAGGCTATCTTTCTTCAAGTGAGCATGTTTGGCCCCTTTGTTGAAGATCAGGTTGCTGAGTGTGTTCATAGAGACTTCTGCATCTTCTAATCTATTCCATTGATCCTCAGGTCTATTTTGTTGCCAGTACCATGATGATTTTATCACAGTAGATTTGTAGTAAAATTTCAAGTCAGGAATTATAATGCCTCCTGCCTTCCCTATGTTTTGCTTTTCTTATTCTAGGTATTTTCTGCTTCTAAATAATTTTTAGGAATGGTTTTTCTAGGTCTGGGAGGTATGTTGACAGCAGTTTGACAGGGATTGCATTAAATCTGTACAGCAATGTTGGGAGTATGGCCATCTTCACAATGTTGGTTCTTCCTATCCAGGAGCAGGGAATATCTTTCCATTTTCTGAAATTCTCTGCAATCACTTTTTTCAGAGTATCATAGTTATCCTTGAAAAGATCTCTGACTTCTTTAAGTAGATTAATTCCAAGGTATTTCATTTTCTGCTGTGCTATTATAAATTATTGTTTCTCTAATTTCACTCTCAGTGTGTTTGTTATCTGTGTAGAGGAATGCTGTTGACTTGTGGGTGCCGAGTATGTATCCTGCTATGCTACTAAATTTGTGTATCAATCCTAGTAGCCTCTTAGTGGAGTTTTTTGGTCTTCCAAATAAAGTATCATATCAATTACAAACAATGATAGTTTCACTTCTTCTTTACCTATTCTTATTCCTTTTATTTCTTTCTCTTGTCTAATGGCTGTAGCTAATGATTCCAGATGTATATTGAATAGGAGTGGTGTTAGAAGACATCCTTGTCATATATAAGATCTGAAAATAAAAGATTTCAGTTTTTCCCCATTTAGAAGTTTATTAGAGAGAGCAGGATGTCAGGCTTCTGCACTAGAACTTTCCTTGTGATAATGAGGGAAGACGGTTGACCACCCAGCGTGGAAGCTGCAGGTTTAAAAATGGGTGATGTTGAAAAAGGCAAGAAAATTTTTGTACAGAAGTGTTCCCAGTGCCACACTGTTGAGAAGGGAGGCAAGCACAAGACTGGGCCAAATCTCCATGGTCTTTTTGGGTGGAAGACAGGTCAGACTGCTGGATTCTCTTACACAGATGCCAACAAGAACAAAGGTATCACCTGGGGAGAGGATACATTGATGGAGTATTTGGAGAATCCCAAGAAGTACATCCCAGGAACAAAAATGGTCTTTGCTGGCATTAAGAAGAAGGGAGAAAGGGCAGACTTAATAGCTTACCTCAAAAAGGCTACTAATGAGTAATAATCACTGCCTTATTTACTACAGAGCAGAAATATCTCATGGTTTTTGTATGTGTACCATAATTTAATCTCATACATCAGAATTCAGATCATGAGTGGCTGACAGAATATTTTTGTTGGACAGTCCTGATTTAAATAAAATTGGCTTGTAGTTAAATGTATATCATTTTTTTTCTTCAAGGTTTGATAGTAATTCCAGTTCAGTAAATACTATCATTGTTTTATCTTCTAAATATATGGTTGGACTTGATTAGTAATGTTCAACTTTTCACAAAGATTGAGAATATCATCTCAAAACTACTGAAGATTGGTTTTATATTTAGATTTATGTAACTGGTTATGTGAATATGTTTAAATACTGAGAGAATCTTTCATTGTCTCAAAACCAAGCAAGACTCCACTGTTTCAGTTTGTGTTTATTAACCTGTTAAAGGGAGTGGTTGAAGACAAGAAAGCTATGTCTATATTTTTAGTCTTGACTATGCCAATTTAATTAGAATTCCCTATATCTAAAAAGTGCTGCCTTTTACTTATTGAAAGGAATTTTAGTGTGGTGTATGTATAATACCAAATAAAGAATATTTAACAATTCTCACATTTTATAGTTCTGTAAATTCAGATCCTTCTAAGAGTTAGCATGATATAACAGCAAGTTCTACTTTTGATTTCTTTAGGTCAGACTGAGTTACTGTTCATGGTAGTATTTAAACAGCTACTCAAAAACATAAGACTAAAACTTTTTTTTCAAAATTTTATTGATAAACAGATAGCAATGAAACAGTTTCAAATCAAATCAGAAGTACAGTTTCAACAAATAACACACTGCATATATTCTTCTTAGTGGTTAATTGCTGCACAAGATGCGGACTTGAGATCCTATTTACAAACACCATTAGAACAAATCATTCTATTCATTAACAGAATGTAACTATACATCTATCCTAACTACTTTGAATACACAGATACAAAATGGACATTCATCTGTATGCCCCATTTTTTCTAAGTTCCGTTATTGAATATTATAGGTGTGTAAACTCAGCAAAATATTCTAAAAGAGTCCAGTAGCCCATAATAGCATTGGGTCTTCTGTTTAACTGGCAATGTCAGAAATTAGGTCAAGACTAAAACTTTTACTGTTGTACGTGTGATTAGTAGTGGTGCTTCCTGTCAGCTCATTAGAAGGACTAAAGTGAGGAAGGTACAACATGAGCACAAATTCGTGTGTGACCATAATGCTTAATTAAAAACAATTCAGATTGAAAAAAAAAGAATTTTATTAGCCTTTGGGTTGTCATAGAGAGCTTTTATCAGATTGAAATAGAGGCCATCTATTGCAATTCTCTGTAGGACTTTGAACATGAATTAGTGTTGGACTTTGTCAAAAGTCTTTTCTGGATCAATTGACATGTTCATGTCGTGTTTAGATTTGGCTGTATTTATATTGTGCATTACATTTTTAGATTTGCATATATTGAACCACTGTTGCATCTCTGGGAAGAATCCTACCTTTAATTGTATATAATCTTCTTGATGATTTACGATATTCTATTTGCTAAGATTTAACGGAGAATTTTTGCATCTATGTTCATGAGCGAGAATGGCCTGTAGTTTTCTTTTTCAGTTGTGTCTTTCCCTGGTTTTGGTATCAGTATAATACTTGCCTCCAGAAATGATTTTGGGACGATGGCTTCCTTTTCAATTTCACTGAAGAGTTTGAGGAACATAGGGATTATACCTTCTGTAAATTTGTTGTGAAAAATTCAGCAGTGAATCCATCAGGACCTGGACTTTTCTTTGTTGGTAGGTGTTTTTTTTTTTTTCTACATTTCGTATTTCATTGGCTCTTACAGGGTTATTGAGAGTTGTTATATCATCTTGATTCAGTTTTGGTAATTTGTGCCTTCCTAGGAATCTGTCCTTTTCTCCTGTGTCTTGTATTCCGTTAGAGTAAATGTTCTAAAAGTAGCTCTTGATAATCTTCTAAATTTTCACTGGGTCTGTGGTGATTATACCCTTTTAATTCCTTATTGCTTGTATTTGAATTTTTTCTTTCCTCTTTTTGATGAAGTTTCCTAGGGCCTCATCAATTTTATTTATTCTTTAAAAGAACCGGATTTTTGAGTTGTTAATTCTTTGAACTGTTTTCTTCGTCTCGATTGAATTAATTTCTGCTCTAAACTTTATGATTTTTTCCTGTCTTTGGGCTCTGGGTTTGGTTTGCTCTTCCTGTTCTAGATTTTGCAGTTGCAACATTAGGATATCTATTTATTCCCATTCTGTTTTCCTAATGTTTGGGTTGATAGCTATAAATTTCCCTCTGAGAACTGCTTTCATAGCATTACATAAATTCTGATAAGTTGTGCTTGAATTTTCATTGAATTGTGGATGCTGTTCAATTTCTTGTTCAATTTCATCTGTGATCCATTGGTTGCTGAGTGAAATATTATTTCATTTCCATGTATTTATGGGTTTTTATGGTTTCTTTTGTCATTTATTTCTAGCTTCATTTTACTGTGGTCAGAATATATGCATGGGAAAAATTCTGTTTTCTTGCATATACTTAACCATTACCTATGGACTAGTATGTCATTTAGTTTACAAAATGATTCACATGTAGCTGAAAGAAATGTGTATTCATCTGTGGTTGGTTGGAGCACTCTATATATATATCCTCTAAGTCAATTTGTACCAAGCTCTGGTGCAGTTCTGCTAGATTTTTGCTAATTTTTTGTCTGCTTGACCTATCTTTTTGGGATAAGTAGGTGTTAAGTTCTCCTGTTAAGATTGTGGTATTGGATATTAGATTTCTCATGTCCACTAACATTTGTCTTATACAGTTGGATGCTCCTGTATTTGGTGCATACATATTTATGCGTGCTACCTCTTCCTCTTAAATTTTTCCCCAACCAGTGTATAGTGGCCTTCTTTCTTTTGTTTTATCATTCTTGATTTGCACTTGAGACCTTCTGAGAACAGATTTGCTACCCCTGCTTTTTTCTGAGGTGGTGGGTGTGTAGTATTGTTTTCTATCCTTTGACTTTCAGCCTATGAATTTCTTTATGAGTTAAATGTGTTTCTTGTATACAGCTTATTTTTAGGTTTTGTTTCCTTATCCACTGTGCCAGTCTATTTCTTTTAACTGTTGAGTTGAGTCCATTTACGTTGATCATTATAATTGAGATGTATTGACTTATGAGTGACATGTTATTTACTTGATGTTGTTTACTCTTTTTTGTCCTGTGTTTAATTGTTTGCCGTATTTACTGGGTTCCTTCTGTCCTTGTTCATGGAGTTATCATCATTTTCGTCCCTCTCTAGAACATCTTTTAGTAGTCTGTTTAGGGTTGATTTTTTCATCATGAAATTCTTTAGTTGTTCTTTGTCATGGAATTATTTCACTTCTACATCAAATTTGAAAGAGTTTTGCAGGGTATATTAGTCTGGGCTGGAATTTATTTTCATAGAGGACTTGAAGTACTCTGCTCCATACTCTTATTGCCTTCATGGATTGTGAAGAAAGTCTGCCATTATTCGGGTGGGTTTTCCTTTAAATATGATCTGTTTTTTTTTTCTCTATTGGCTTTCAGTATATTGTTCTTTTGTTGGATTTCTGGGATCTTGACTATTATATGTCTCATTGCATTTTTAATTGGGTTGATGTTCTTTGGAGTTCTATATGCTTCAGTTATCTGAATGTCAGATTTTCCCCCCATATTTGCGAAGTTTTTTTTTGCTATTACTTCTGCCTATAAACTTTTTTATCATTTGTATTGACTCCTTCTTTCTCATTGATGTCTATTAGTCTCACGTTGTTCATCTTTGCATCATCTTGCAGGTGATGAACTATTTTTTCCTACAAGCCAGTTGTTTTTAAGAGATCTGTTCTTAAGTTTTCACTAGCTGCAATGTCATCTTCAAGATCTGAAACTCTATCTTAACTGTCACCAAACGATTTTTCAAGCTTGTGATTGAGATTTCCAGTTCCTTTATATCTCTTTGACTCTGCTTCATGCATTATATTTCTTTCCTGCATTGCTCATTCAAGGAATCTGTCATTTTTCTCTTCTACTCAATTTTTTGTCAGTGTCTTCTTTAGTAGCAGTTTCTAATTCTTTTACTACAGAGATGATTTCCAATCTGATTTTCTCTATATGTTTCTGTATTTGATTCTTTTCTTCAGATGCTATTAATTCAGAGTTTTCTTTTTTATTTCAGAGGTTATTGCTGATCTGAATTCCTCTATACCTTTCTATTGTTTCTTTTCTTCAGATGCTATTAATTCAGACATTTCAGCTGTGTGATTCCTACTTTCTTCTCTACTAATGTCTTCTGCACTTGCTGTTTTTGGATTCGGGGCCTGAGATTGAATTTTCCTCCTCTTTGTCATTTTGTATAGCACTGTCTTCTGTCCTTTTGTGTAGAGCTTTGATACAGTTATAACTTTAGTGCCCACTAAAATTCAGGTGCAGATCTATGAAGTTTGAGTTCACCCAGTTGTGCCTGGCTTGTGTCTGGTTGCTCTGCTCAGCTTCTTCATGCTGCAGATGTGGGGTCCACTGGGATTGGAAGGGTTCTGAGAGACTCTCAGAAGTTTTCACGTGCCAGGCCTGGGCTGGGTCCAGATGCGTCCAGCTGATGCAGGGGAGTGAGGAAACTCTCCCACACTTGCTGGGTCTGGGTAGGGGTGTGTCTTGCAGGTTCTTTAATCTGAAAAATTGATTCTCTCTCTCTCTCTTTCTCTCTCTTTGATTGTCAAATACTGAAATTTTAAGAATTGTCTCATACAAGCTGGCATAATATATGTTTAAGGTTAAAAAAAGGTTTACAAAAAGGTTAAAAGTGACGATCAAAATGAAAGGCTTTCTCGATAAATCTAACACCGCAGTGTACTTTGATGACATGTGTTCTGTCTTAGTCCCAAAGGAAAGTTATATGGGAAGAGTCCTATTTGGTGAATTTTATATCAATTTGACTGGATGTTATGTTTTTTGTATATGTGTCTCCCCAAAGCCTCATGCAATCAAGGGGCAGACTTGTAGAGTTTGTGATTAATTCATGATCCACTGGGATTACGGGTGTGAATGCTGCTGGGATTATGGTTATAAGTACTATTCCCAAGCTTGGTTGGATAGCCTGAATGTAATTTAAGAGAGACAGACTTCCTCTCTGTAGCCATTCTTGCCACTATTTCTCCCATTTGCTCTCTACTGTTTGTCACCACTATGAAAGGTTGTTCTCTGCCATCTGACACTCTTCCTTGGAGCCAGCTGAATATTGACTGAAACTTCCAGTAACTGTGAGTTGAGTAAACCTTTCCTTCCTTCATTTTTAGTGTCATGTATTTTTCCCCTCAACGAGAGAAAAGTAACCAAGACACTGACCCACTGGGTATCCAAATATTTGGCCAAACATTATTCTGATTGTTTCTATGAGTATGTTTTTGGAAAGGATCAACATATAAATTGGTAGGCTAAATAAATCAGATTGTGCTCTATAATGTAAATGGACTTCCTTCAATTAGTTAAAGATTTGTATAAATCAAAATAGTCACCATCCCTTGAGTATAGGATAAGTTGTTCTGCCTGACCATCTTCAAATGTGGGTACCAGCTTTTTCTTGCCTTTATCCTTGAGCTGAAATATTGGCTCTTCCTGGGTTCCCAGCCTGATAGTCTTTGAACCAGAGCACTACCTTATGAACATTTTTGTTTCCCCTGCTACAAAAATAACCCTGAAAATCTTGGAACCTGTCACTTTTCATAATCACATGAGCCTATATAAACTAATCTACTTTTTATCTTGTATTTTTCGAGATAAATTAATTCTCTCTTCCTTTTGTCCTGCCCTTTCCTCTCTTATCCATATAAATGTCTACCTGTTAACACTACCAATTCTGTTTCCCTGGAAAAGCTTCACTAATACAATTTTGAAGATGAAGAACAAAAATCTCTGCACTCCAGTAGATGTAAACATTGGTTCCTACATCTTTATAGTTTCACATTTCCTGGTGGGAAAATTAGTTGCTCATGCTCTG